GGTCATCCAGCCAGGTGCAAGTGGAGGAGTGGGGAATCAAACCCGGTTCTCCAAGATTAGAGTCCACGCACTTAACCACGACACCAAACTGGCTCTCTTTTTGGTTCCTGATGGCCTCTGAACATACTCACCTGCTTAAAGTTCTTGTTGTACAACACGCAACAGACAGGCTGTTCCTGAGTCTTGATTTCTGCCTCGGAGGTTTCCGTCCCAAAGAACATGCCAATCTGCAGCACAACAAAAAGGACCAAAAGGAAAACACAGGTACTCGTCACACCCTCAAGGCCAACACCCACATGTGTCCCATAAAGAAAAGCAACAGCGGTGCTTGTTCTACAGAACTTAAGAATCTTGACAAAAACTGCTCTTTTTCAAGGTCAGCTGTGCCAGAGCTTGTGACTGACCCAAGGTCACATCAGCAGGTGCAAGTGGAGGAGTGGGGAATCAAACCTGGTTCTCCCAGATTAGAGTCCGCACACTTAACCACTACACCAAATTGGCCTCAGAACATCAGAAGAGCCCTGCTGGGTCAGACCAGTGGTCCATCTAGTCCAGCATCCTGTCCCACACAGTGGCCAACTAGCTCCTCTGGAGGGCCAACAACAGGGCACAGAGGCTGAGGCCTTCCCCTGATGTTGCCTCCTGGCTCTGGGATTCAGAGGATTAGAGCCCTAAAGAGGGAGAGAAGGAAGGAAGGAAGGAAGGAACTTATTTGCATATGCCACACCCCCTGACATCACCGGAAGTGTGTCAGAAGGCAACACCCACCACTCAGGCTCCACTGGACTGTTTTGAATTACTAGCTATTGGGGGGGAGGGATGTGCAGATCTGTCCTCACAGAGGAGAGAGAGCTTGTACCTAAATAAAACTTGGTCTTAAAGGTGCCACTGGGCTGTTTTGGATTGCTAGCTATGGGGGGGAGGGATGCGCAGATCTGCCCTCACAGAGAGGGAAAGCTTGTACCTGAAGGCGGGCTGGCGGGGACTCCGCAACTTACCTGGCTGCTTCTTGCTCTTCATGGCCTGGGGCTGCTGGGAGCAGGGGGTGGGGCTTGTTGCATGTGCCCGCCCCCTGGGCTCTTTACTGCCAGAGCTCTGCTCCTGTGCGCTCCTGCAGGAAATGACCCCTGCCCCTAATAGAACTTTGTTGGTCTTAAAGGTGCCCCTCTGGACTCAGACTGCGTTCTGCAGATTCCTCCAGTCCTACTTATTGCAGGCAAGTCAAAAAAAAAGAAGTCTCCAAAGACCTGAAAAAGCAGGCACCCGATTAATTGTCCGGTGAAACGGGGACCCGGATCGATACAGGTCCAAGTTCGGGCCTTGCTCCACCCACTGCTCCTCTCTCTCCCTCCTCTTTCACAAACTTCTCACCATGTAAGTGGCGCAAGCCAGTAAGTTGGCAGCCACGTGGTAGCAGGCAGCCGAAATGGGAGCGTTTCCGAGCGGCACGTTCCTGCCGTGAATGGACTGCAGGCAGAAGTGATCCAGCAAGTCCCAGATGCGGATGTTCTGCGGGAGGCAGGAGAGAAGTCGGGAGGTGAATGGGATGCGCGGACTCCGAGGCTCGACGCAAAAGGCGCTGCGCAAGAGCTTGCGAGACGTTACCCGACCATGCAACACACAGATTTCACCCAATAGATTAAATTACATATTTAATATTTAGGTAAAGTTCCCTTGCTCGAAAGCCAGTCGAGTCCAACTCTGGGGTTGCGGTGCTCATCTCCGTTTCCAAGCCGAAGAGCCAGCGCTGTCCGAAGACGTTTCCGTGGTCATGTGGCCGGCATGACTAGACACCAAGGCGCACGGAATGCTGTGACCTTCCCACCGAAGTGGTACGTATTTATCTACTTGCAATGTCTTGCTTTCGAACTGCTAGGTTGGCATGAATAAAACACTGGACTGTTTTGCATTGCTAGCTGGGGGGCAAAACGGGACACAGGGAGGGAGGGAGGGAGGGA